TTTGAAATTATCTGAATGAAAAAATATAGTCTTTCTATTGTAATAGTAAAGGGATAATATTCCTTACACATATTGTTTTGTTTTGTTTGTTTGGTTTGGTTTTTTGAGACAGGGTCTCCCTGTAGCATCAGGTTGGCCTTGAACTCAGAGATCTGCCTGCCTTTGCCTCTTAAAGGTGTACATCACCAAGCCCAGCACAGGCTGAACTTACTATTATGTAGCTGAGGCTGGCATCAAACATCAAATCCACCTAAGTCTTACTCACAGGAGATAGGATTACAGACATGGATGGGCTAACACACCCATGAATTAATTTCTGTTGTATTTGTTTTCCAAAAAGTAGCTGGTTTTAGCATCTATTTGGTTACAGGTGGTACATGGCAGATAAATATTAAAAGTATTTCTTGCTTTTGAGTTTGGAATATGCACCTTCCTCTCTCTTTTCTGTGCCTTGACTCTGTCACAGTTTACTTAGCACCCATAGAACTTGTCAAATTACGTTTGTTATAATACTTTTCACTCTGATTTTATTTATATATATATAGTTTTATCTCCAGACACATTTTAAATTAAACTTTCTATTTGGAGAGAGTGCCTTGCTATTAAGTAGCCCAGGCAGCCTTGAACTTGCCATCATACTGCCACATACAGCCTCTCAAGCAGTTAAAGGCCAGCCTGGGCTACACAGTGAGGTGCTGTGTCAAAAAAGGAGGGAGATCTGGTGTTGGTAGGCTAAGGCTGAGGTCCTAGCAGACAGCCTGAGAGGGTGGGTTCTGACCTCCATCAGTGTAGCGTCTCTGATCTCAGCAGACCGCCAGACAGTGCTGAGTTCTGGCCTCCCTCTGGCAGAGGGCCTGAGAATGCAGGGGACTGCCTGAGAGCACCTGGATCCTGCCTCCATGTGGTGGTCCTTTTAATAAGATGATGCTATACAGTGGTCCCTTCTGCATGAAATAACTACCATCATCACGATTTCAGCTGAGCCTGATCGCTAAACATCACAATTGGGCTTGTTGACGGTTGTGCTCATTCATAATAGGAGGGCCAAGCAGGGTCACCGCATTATCCAGTCACTCTTCACAGCCAACTGTATATAATTTGGCCCTAATCACACATGGCCTCCTCGATTTGGAGAAGGCTAAAGTATACAATCTGGGGGAGGCTAGGAAAAGAAGGCATGACCCATGCTGGGTAAAAGCTTCCCAGTATGCATACCCTCAGGTCATATATACACCTCAGCAGCCCCTCAATTATCTCAGTAAGTAAGCTTAATAAATTTATTGGTTCCCCACTAAAACTTTAATCAAACATTGGCTTGACACTAGAACCTCCTTATTGCTTAGCATCCCCAGAAGAAGTCTCACAACAGACAGAAAATTTATTAATGCTATTATGTCTCATAATTATTTTTTTTAAAAAAAGAAAATGAGAATGTAAAAGATGTTTAAAAGATATGGGAATGGAGATATATTCCAAAATAGAAAAAAATTAGAAAGCCTAAGCAAGTGATGAAGGTCTATGTAGGTTTGTTATGATATATATAAAGGATGAGACAAAAGCAATATACGCATAATCTTAAATTTTCTATGGTTATAGTTTAGTCAAATAGTTTAAGGAACAAAATATGTATCTAGTCAAGGTTTATCAGAGAATATTTGTTTTTTACCCAAGCCTTATCTACATAGCACATGATAATTAAAAGTACCAGACTGAGCCTGGTCTACATAGTAAGTTCCAGCGCACAGCTAGGGCTACAGGGAGACCCTGTCTCAAAAAGACAAAAACAAAAACAAAACAAAACCCAGCCTGTACTTACAAGACTTCAAGTTTATGATGAATGAAGGACTTGCCCAATAAACTGTCACCATCTAGAAGTCGAGGGCACTCTCCATGGCCTCGGTGCCTAGCACACTGCCTTAATAGTTAAATGAAGAAACTATGGAAAAGGTAAAAAGAAATCCCAAAGTATCAAAAAACAAACCACTTGCAAATTCGTGCAACTCCTATGGAAAGCAGTGAGGAGAACTCAAAAAACTCAAAAGAAGCCCACCATTTGACCCAGTTAGTCCACTCCTTGGCATATACCCAAAGGACTGTTGCAGAGATACTTGTACATCCATGTTTGTTGCTGCTCTTTTCACAATAGCTAAGAGATGGAAGCAACCTAAGTGTCCCTTAATTGATGAGTGGACAATGAAAATGTCGTACATTTACACAGTGGAGTTCAACTCAGTGGTAAAGAAAAATGAAATCATGAAATTTGTAGGTAAATGGGTGGAACTAGAAACTGTTATACTAAGTGAAGTAACACAGACTCAGAAAAAAAATTGATGTACGTTCTCCCTCATATGTGGATCCTAGAACCAAATCCTGGTGAGTATATATCCAGACATAACTACAGGAACCAGGATAATGAAAAGTAACCAGGGAGGTAAAGAAAAAGAATCTGAAGGAGAAGAACAGTAGAAAACAAGTGTTAACAAGGGAGATATGGATAAAAATGGGGTTAGTTTAAGGGAGGGGGGAGGGAAGGTTATACAAGGAATGTAGGGGATAAAGGGAAAGAAGGAGCTCAAGAGAGGTGGGACCGTAGGAGAAGGGTATTATTAAGGGAGAAATGGGAAAAATGGGGACACTTTGATTGGGGAAACCATGATGAAGGGGAGACAATGTGAGAGATAAATAATGCCTAGCTAGTTTTAGAAAACCAGAGAGAACCATATTAGGCCAACAACCTACCAACAAATTATGCATACAACCAGATCAAAGAATGTAATATATGTCTAGGCAAGGTTTATCTGAGAGCATTTGATCTTTGGCCAAGCTCTATCTACATGGCACATGGTAACTAAAAGTACCAGACTGGTGGAACTAATCTTCTTGGATGTTTAACAGCCATACTTTGAGGCCTATACTAATTTGGTCAGAGGGATATAAAGGACAGTTTTTGTTCCTTGTCCTCCTAGGTTGTCCAGGGGACTATGAGCATCTCTCAAAATGTCCTGTAACTGTGGTGAGTCACCTGTCCTCTTGATCAAGGAGACTGTGGAGACCCCACCAGATGGACCTGAACCAGTGCCCAGTCTACAAAGAGGAGGGTCAACACAGAGAAAACATTTCCTCCATGCTTCCAAGTGAAGCCAACCATGGTCGAGCAGGACCTCTGACTTATCTTCACATAGGTGGAACTGGTAAAAGAAAGGAGCCAGGGGCTCCTCCCAAGCTCATGTGACCCCTGAGGAAGATTCTCAAATGACCTTAAGAGTAAAAATAAATTGCTTTATCTGGGCCAATTGTAGGGTCTTAAACACCCGAAAGGAAAGTATAACCAAAGATTAATGGGGTCAATATAATTTTTTAGGAGTCCATATGTATAGCTAAAGGCTACATAACAAGAAACAATGCCAGACAGGAGATATTTTCCTTTGAGTTATTGGCCAGGGTGGCCCAAAAGACTCCCAGACAGTAACCCAGCACAGAACTGGGAAAATGAACAGCAGACCCCAATCTTATCTAAAGGAATATTGATAACTGATTGCTGGTAGATGAGGAACAGTTCATCTTCCTAAAACAAGGATCTCTAGATAGGTTGACTAGATTCAGCAGACAGACAAGCACTGGAGAATGGCTGGGGGTGCCGACAACATAGTGGACAGTAACAGGGACTATAAGTATCTCTCAAAACGTTCTGTAACTGTGGTGAGTCACCTGTCCTCTTGATTAAGGAGGCCGTGGAGACCCCACCAGATGGACCTGAATCAGTGTCCAGTCTACAAAGAGGAGGGTCAATACAGAAGAAACATCTCATCCATGCTTCCAAGTGAAGGCAGCCATGGTCGAGCAGTACCTTTGACTTATCTTCACATAGATGGAACTAGTAAAAGAAAAGAGGCAGGGGCTCCTGAGGAACAGATCCTCAAATGACCTTAGGAGTAAAAATAAATTGGTTTATCTCAGCAGAGAGTTTTGTTCTCAGCAAAAGCAGCTGAGCTCCAGCTTGAGAGCATCTGATGCCCTCTTCTGGCCTCCAAGTGCACCTACATTCCAGTGCACATATCCACACACAGACATACACACACATAAATAAAAAATAAAGTAAAGCCAGGCATGGTGGCACACACGTTTAGCACTACCACTTGGGAGGCAGAGGCAGACAGATCTCTGTGAATTCAAGGCCAGCCTGGTCTACATAGTGAGTTCCAGGCCAGCTGGGGCTATAGGGAGACCCTGTCTCAAAAAAGACAAAAATAAAAATTAAAAAATTAAAATAAAATAAAATAAAAACCACTTCTGCCACTGCTGCTATCTGAACAGTCTGGAAACCTGTGTAGAAGTCTCATCTAGCTTCCTTTCCTGTTGGCCCACTTCCAATAACAGCACCATGAGGTGCCTTCTCTGTGCCAGTTTCTGTCATTGTGGATGCTTACAGTCTCACCAAGTCCACGAACAACTCAGTGAGACCAGCTTTATTGTCTACAGTTTACAAACTAGAAGAAACTACACCTCAAAGAGGCTAGCATTTATTGTGCTAAGGTCATACAGAGAGCAAGTCAATGAGGGGCATTGATATTCACACTCATTCCTATCCATCCCTCTCTCCGGCTCTTTATAACCCACAGGCCTACTGTCTCTCTTCATTCTTTACTCAAGTCAATATACAAATGATTTAACAGTACTCTTTAACTGTCTGCTTGGTTCATGTATACAGGTCCTGACTAGACCAACATGATTGCTTAGAAATAAAGCAATGCCTTCATAACTATAGAATGTGGATTGCATGCCAGGCAGAGTCAAACAAACAAACAAACAAACAAAATTTCTACCTAGCAAGCAACAATTTTTCATCTTAATGAGTTCCATTCTAAATATAAGGCATTAATCCTCCACAGAAAGACTTCTACAGTGAACAAAGATTGGTTGGTCCTTGATTCCTTTTAGTAGATTCTAAACAAGCAAAAACCTAAGAGAGTTACATTTAATATGAAATAAACACAACTCACCATGGCAAGCAAAAAGCGTGCGGCCATGAAGATGTAATAATCAAATGTAAAGACCGATGCTATTCCGAAAAAAAATACGCCAGTGCTTGTGGACCACAGAACCACTCATCTTCCGAGCCTGAAAAATAAGAACCAGAGTGGAAGGTCGGGTTGTCATGGCTTAAACAGCCTGCCCAGTTAATGACAGATGAGTGTGGCCTGTATTTGTAATAGCTTACCCGTTTGGATTCCATTATTCATTTATTTGAGCAAATCATGATTTAGCACACGGAGTCTTCAGACCAGCCTTTCGGTGCAGAGGCTTCTAGCTAAGCTGCTAATGTGCACACAGGACCACTCTGAGCCAGCCCCATGGCCTCCAGGAACTGAGGGAAAAGTGAGGGAGAATTTTCCAGTTCCTACCCCCAAGCACTTCAGCCCTCAGCTCCGTTGGTTCCTCTTCCCTGCCAAGCTGGCTCTGCCCTCCAAGGCTGCCATAGCGCTTGCTAACCTCCCTTAAAAACTGATATCTTGCTAACTTTTACTCCTGCAAGACGGTTCCTACTTGCCTCATATCCTCATAATTGAGAGAGGCATTTCTTTGGTTGAAAATCAACATTCCAGCCGAGCGTGGTGGCTCACGCCTTTAATCCCAGCACTGGGGAGGCAGAGGCTCTCTGTGAGTCCAAGGCGCCAGCCTCGTCTACATACTGAGTTCCAGGGCAGCTGGGGCTACAGGGAGACCCTGTCTCAGAAGGACAACTAAAAGTAAAAATAAAACCTTTCCAAGTAAACTATTTGGTGGCTTTTAGTCCATTCACAAGGTTATATAACCTTAGCGGCTGCATATTCCAGGACTCATATATTATCTCCCTACACCATATTCCAGGACTCATATATTATCTCCCTACACGGAACTGTACTTAAAAGGTGTCACTCCCTGTTCCCTGCTCCTTTCCCGGCCCCGAGAAAATACCAATCTATTTTTCTCTCTGGATTTGCCTGAGGCATTTCATATAAATGGAATCAACCCATATGTGGCCTTTCACCTGCTTTCTTTTACTTAGCATACTCTCACGGTCATCCATATCAGCGCTTTGTTTCTTTTTCATAACTGAGTAGCATGCCTTTCATTTCTCTGTTCATTTGTGGGCATGCATTTGGGTTATTTCTCTTTAGCTATTATAAATAATGCTGCTTTGAGTATTCACCAACAAGATTTTGTGAGAACTTACGTTTTCAATTCCCCCAAGTTTATTCCTGGTAATTCTGTTTGACTTTTTGCAGAACCTCCAAACTGTTTCCAAGATGGCTGCCCTGGTTCTACCACCCCACCAGAAAAGAATAGAGCCCCAATTTCTACACATTCTCACCAATACCTGAGGTTGCCTGCCTTTTTCATTATAGCCAACCTAGTGGCGATGAGGCAATCTATCATTTCGACCCTGATTTGCATTTTTCTAATGATTAAGGATATTTGAGCACTTTTCCAAGTGCATATTGACCATCTGTACTTAGTCTTTTAGAGAGATGTCTAGTGGAGTCTCTTGCTCATTTTTTAATTTTTAATCACTTACTTTTTTTGAATGTTGACTTGTAAGAGTTATGAATATTTTGGATACAAAATCCTTGTCAGATACATGATTTGAAAATATATTTCTCCCTGTGGGTCATCTTTGTCAAGTAGTTTTAATGCTACAAAATATACATATATGTATATATATATATATATACATATATGTATATATATATATATATATTCCAGCCAGCAGGTTTAAATGACACAGCAAACGAAACGTAAACGCATAGGAAACTGTCATTGCTATGCTCTTCCCCAGGCGTCTCTGCTCCCACACATATTAGTAGGGACTGCTGGCCCTATACACGAGTGCTCCCCAGCCCCATCTGAGACCTGAACTCCACCTGAAACTATTTTAACTATTGCTGATGAAGCCATGCCATGGTCTTCACTCTCTGCAGAGGAGCCACCATCTCCTGAGAAAACACAGTCCAACAAAGACAAAACTCCATAGTATCCTGCTCTGCCCACCTACTCACACAGCCTGCATCTGGACTCAGCTTCCTCTTCCTCCCGCTCTTCCAGGACCTTCATCTACCCACTTCTTCTTGGCTCCTTCCCTCTTCTCTAACTCCTCCCCTTCAGTTTAAGCTTTACCTGTCCTAAACAAGAAACTTCTCTTGACCCACAGCTCTTCAGCCATCTTGCATTTACTTCCTTGGCAGATTTAACAGATACAACACCCTGTCCTCAGCTCCCATGAGTGCTCTCTCTCATTCCCTCCCCCACCCCACACCCCACACCCTGATGATAGCCAGAGGTGACAGCTTTTCTGAGGTCCCTTCACAGCCGTTGAAGATCCACCATGGTCCTCTTATACCTCACTTTTTTGGTGCCACTGACCCTACCTGTTTGTCAGGATCCAGCTCTCACTCTCTCCTGGTTCTACTCACCTCTCCCAACAGCCCCACCTCCATGCAGGCTTTCCCATGTTCTGTACAGCACACACTGCCCTTGTGATGCATCTACCTCCCTGGCCCTGACTCCTGATCACTTGCTGTTACCTCGCCACACATCTTCTGGCCCTAGTTGTTCCTTTCAACTCTGTCCTGCAGAACTGCAGTTTTATCTCAGTTATCCCATCCCTATCTTTTCCATAATTCACAGATAGTACAAGCTCATTGATAAATATCCAAACATGCTTCCCTCCCTTCGAATACTGCACTCTCCTACCACTTTCTGAAATGATCGGCAATATCTTCTGCCATCCAGGCTTCTAAGTCTTAATCCCCACTCCAGCTCTCCTTGTCCCTGCATATTCATCACCACATCATACCGGTTCCAAAACGCCTCCCAGATATCTTCATCTTTCCCTGTTTTTTTCAGTCCTGCATCATTGCTTACATCATTCATTCATTCCACAGTCTCCCATCTGTCTTTTCTACCCCATACCAGTGAACCACCTACTCTTTCTAGAAAGAAACCAGTGCTGATCTTGGTTTTGTTTCTTGGTGTTTCTTTTATCTTCTCCATCTGGAAGCTTCCCTAGAACTTTGACCATCTGGGGCATATGAAGTGTCTCATCATTTCTTGGAGTCTCATGGCAGAAATTAAGGTGAACCTGTTCTGAGGCACATGGACCGGGCTCAAAACCCAGCTCAAAGCCTTTCTTTCCAAGTGAACATTCTATGCTTCCTTTTCCTCAGCAGTGGGAAAGGGTCAATGAAACAATGCCCACCTCACAGGCTTCCTTAATAGTTACCTGGCAGTGTGTGAGACAATTTATAGTCCTAGTGCATGGTAAATCATCCATACATGTAAGTTTTTAACTTCTTTAAAGTATTTAAAAATACTTAGATTTCACTGAAATTTCCACTTAGAAATCTCTCTCCTATGATAGTAGCTTCTATTTCTTCTTTTTATCATATTACGTAAGAATATGTGGCATACATATAGTTTAGAGAATAAATGAACATCCAAAAATCACAAAGCAAACCAGAGATCTGATCACAAAGCCCAGGCCCTTCTCAGGAGGAGTCATTACCCTAACTTTGGTGATATTCAATTTGCTTACTTTTAATTCCATTTTAATTCCATTTTTACCACTTTTATATGCTACTTCAAGTGAAACAAATTTTATAAACAATATTGATTAGTTTTGCTATATGGTTTTGAACTTTTGTTTTGTTTTTCTGAAATAGGGTCTTGTAGAGCAGGCTGACCTGAAATTTACTATGTAGCCCAGGCCTGCCCTGAATGCTTTATTCTCCTGCCTCAACCTCCCAGTTGCTAAGATTACAGGCATGTACCACCATCCATGGCTTGCTTTGAAACTTTCTAAAACACAGCATATTATTTCTCAAATGTGTACTGTTTTATGATATGTTTCTTTCACTCAACATTATATTTGAAAAATTCATCTATGTTGCTTCATGTAGACATGGTATATTCATCTTGTGGCCACATAATCTTCCTATTGCAAGAAGAAACTACAGTGCATGAGTCCATGACAAGGTTAAAGGACATCTGAGTTGGTAGTGTAGGGCCACTGGGAACAGTGCTGTAGGAATATCCTTATGCATGTGGACTTTTCCAAGTATGTCCAAGGTACATTTAGAGCATGTAGACTGTGGGCATCACTAACTTCTCTCTGTAACACTAAGTCAGTCTTCAAAAATTCCCCAACTTGCATTCAAGAGATCCTGTTAGGCCATATCCTCTCCAAAAGTACAAGACCTTTTGCTTTTGACAACTGGTGAAATACAAATGGTGTGATTATATATATACCAGCAATGCCCTTTCATCTTTTCTTTTTTTAACATTTTTATTTATTATTTTTATTTTATGTGTATGCATGTATTGCCTGCATGTAGATAAGTGCACCATGTCATGCAATGCCCACAGAGGTCAGAAGAAGCTGTCAGATGCCCTGGGACTGGAGCTACCGACAGTTGTTAGCTGCCATGTGGGTGATGGGATTCGAACCCAGGTCTTCTGCAAGAACAACCAGTGTTCTTAACTGCTTAGCCATCTCTCCAGCCAGCCCCCTTTTTCATTGAGATTTGAGATTTTCTTTTCTTTCTTTCTTTTGGTCTTTTTGAGACAAGGTCTCCCTGTAGTCCCCAGCTGTCCTGGAACTCACTATGTAGACCAGGCTGGTCTCAAACTCACCAAGATCTGCCTGCTCTGCCTTCCAAGTGCTGGGATTAAAGGTGTATGCCACCATACCTGGCCTCAGACTTTTTTTTTTTTCATTTTATGAGCATGAGTGTGTTGCCTGCATGTATATAAGTGTACCCGTGTCATTCAATGCCCAGGGAGGTCAAAAGAGCGCATTGGATTCTCCTGGAACTGGAGTTACAGATGGTTATTAGCCGCCATGTGGGTGCTAGGAATAAAACCCAGGACCTCTGCAAGAATAGTCAGTGCTCTTAACTGCTGAGCCATCTCTCCAGCCCAAGATTTTCTTTTCTACAGGGTAACTCCAAATCTCTTCATTTTTTCTAATTCATTGTCTTTTTCCTGTTGACATGGGCTCTTTTAGTATTGCACATTGTAATCCTTTAGTTTTATATGTAAAGCAAGTTTTCTCCCCCTCTTCCTCTCTCTCTTTACAGCAC